TTGAAAATTTTTGGGGTCCCACACCCAAAAATTGCCCTCCTTGGGAAAATTTGACCTTCTGAATCTGAAAAGAAAAATGGGGAGATAACACATTATGTGATGTAAAGGTTTGAAAACCAAAAAGTTAAAAAATGAAAACACTTGTGCAGTATTTGAGAATATGAGGAGACGTGGTTTTTTTTTAAACCAATCAGAGAAGTTCCTAAATGTTCCCCGCTCTTCTTCACAGTATTTTCCAAAAAAGTTCCTGGAGGAACGTTAACTTAGCATTACACAACAGAGAGCTAATGGAAGTAACAGAACTCACTAGAAATTAAAATACACTGGACTTGAACTTCACGAACGAAGAGGAACTAATCAGAGACATAATCACAGAGAAATCAAACAAGATAAATTCAGGGGGTGGAAAGCTCTGGACATAGTGTACAAGAAAAAACTCGGATGTTCAGTAAATCTAACTTCAACAATCAGGAAATTAACTGGGTTAAAATAAACAAAGAACTATCAGACATTCCCAGGGAAGTCGTCCTAAATACCCTAAATCCTCAACATTGTTTAAAAAGGATGTATGAAATGTGTACTGCTGAGAAAACCCAAAAGAAGATCAGATATAGAAAGAGAGAGAAAATAGTAGAAGATTGAAAAGAAGCCTAAAAGGATTATCGAACTGTTTGAAAAACGTGAATATGTCACAGCAAAGAAAAGATAATCTTAGCCGCAAGACTCAATAAAATATTAAAATTACTGGGAACATCCGTAGAGCAGAGAGAGCTGCATGATAATATATGTGGAAGGTACCGAAGGACCTAGTCCCAAATCTGCACACTGCAATAACAACATACTGGGGTGAGAGATATGGGAGGGAAAAGCAGACTCCGTGGACACAATAAGAGAACATTGTATCAACATCCTTGAACCCAGACTTTTTTTTTTTTAACATATCATAAACTGCCGGAAGTCAAGAGGAAACTAGACAGATACTTCCACAAAGTGCCAGATCAACCAGGCTGTGATGGATATATGGCCTAGCGAGCCGCCAGCAATAATAGCTTCATTAACAAGACAAGCCTACAGAAGTATGCAAATTCTTGACACCACCAAGGGTATAACAGAGGTGGTGGGTGTAGTCATTCATTCATTCACTATAGTTGGCCTACTGGCCCATGTTAAGCAGGTCAGGAATACTTTACTAAGCCTACTGGCCCATACCAGGCAAGCCAAGCCTACTACAGTAGGCCTAATGGCCCATGTTAGACAGGTCAGGCTTAATGACTAATTTTTGTGAATCGCTAAACTCGTAAGTCATACATAGCCCGGAGAATGAGAAGTATCCAGGTTTAATCCAAGGTAGGGTAGCTCCAATAGTTTGGATCAAGAGTACTTCACCAGCGTCGTGTTCACAGCCATTATTACAATTATGATTATTGTAATTATGACAATTATGATTATTATATCCGCTAGTTTGGTTTTCACCTCCAGTGATGTCACCCTGTTGAATATAGATACAATTATTTGACTAGCCTAATAACGTACATGCATTTAATACAGTTAATTGACTAGCCTAATAACGTACATGTATTTTAATCCAGTTAATTGACTAGCCTAATAACGTACATGCATTTTAATACAGTTAATTGACTAGTCTAATAACGTACATGTATTTTAATCCAGTTAATTGACTAGCCTAATAACGTACGTGTATTTTAATCCAGTTAATTGACTAGCCTAATAACGTACATGTATTTTAATCCAGTTAATTGACTAGCCTAATAACGTACATGTATTTTAATCCAGTTAATTGACTAGCCTAATAACGTACATGTATTTTAATCCAGTTAAGTGACTAGCCTAATAACGTACATGTATTTTAATCCAGTTAATTGACTAGCCTAGTAACGTACATGTATTTCATAATGCTCAATTACAAATGTGTTTATGATTACAGCAATTATTATTATTATTATTATTATTAATTATTATTATTATTATTATTAATTATTATTATTATTATCATTATTAATTATTATTATTAATTAATATTAATTAATATTAATTATTATTATTATTATTATTATTGTTAAAAAATACATTCGCTTGATATTTCTTCGGTAGTGGAAGGTGTCTTTTGAGGGAGAACTAAATTGTTTTTGTGTGTGCCTGCGCTAGACTGTTATTCATGTTTTTTTTTTTTTAACACTTGTTAAAGCAGCCGCTTTCATCATCGGGATAAAAGGCCCTCGTGTTGATTGTTAGGCTGTGAGTTTAAAAAAAAAAGTGCAGCAGCATTGTTCACTATGTTTTGTGTGTGTAGGTCACTGGAAGCGTCACAGAGGGGAGCACAAGGGCTACACATACGTAAGCGAGGGGTGGGGTGGGGGTTGTCGCTGGGAGTCAAATGGTGGTGGCTCTTTATGATGAAAATTGTATAAAATACCGACAAGTTGGTGATAAGACATATGTGCGACAGTTAGGTATCTTTATTTTTGAAACATTTCGCCTCACAGTAGGCTTCTTCAGTCAGATACGGAGGCAGAAGGTGTAGTAGTGAAATGAAGGTGATGTAATCAGTCCATCAACCTTGGAGAAATAGTATTTGAGGTGGTCAGTCCCTCAGCCTGGAGAAGAGTTCAGCTACATAGTGTGGAACGATATTGAGCTGAGACATGAGAATGAAGTCTCAAATACTGTTAAACCTGCATACGGAAATCACTCTCTATGAAAGCAAAAGACTCGGCAGGAGATGCAACATTCCCCCGATGAAAAGCAGGAGCGCCACGAGTACATTGAAAGAGAACACAATAAGTGTCCGGGGCCCAAGACTGTTCAACTGCCTCCCATCATACATAAAGGGGATTACCAATAGACCCCTGCCTGTCTTCAAGAAGGCACTGGACAGGCACCTAAAGTCAGTACCTGAGCAACCGGGCTGTGGTTCGTATGTCAGTTTGCGTGCGGCCGGCAGTAACAGCGTGGTTGATCGTATCCTCATCATGAGTCCTGGTCTCAGACCGAGCCGCGGGGGCGTTAACCCACGAAACCCTCTCCAAGTAAGATAAGGTGGAAGATCTGGAAGATAGTGAATGTGACGGGATTCACTATTGGAAGTAGGAAGGCAGGTTCCTCTAGAATCCAACCTTCTCACTCATAACTAGTAGTTACGCTTCGGCAGTAACTGAGGAGCGGTCTTGGGGGGAAGGAGGGGGCTGAATACCCCCCTCATAATTTCCCCCAGCTCCTTCAGAGCCTCCCTCCCTCCCCCGTGATAACAAGTCATGTTATTCAACTTATGCCGGGTAATTCTGCAGCGTGTGAACGTAGTTTTTCCTGCCTGCGACTAGCCAAAAAACTGGCTTGAGGAACAACAGTAGTGGTAGTAAAACGATATTGTAGTTGCATCTATAAATTGGAAAAAGAACCCAAGAGTCTGAATGTTGGAATTATCATTGATAGTTTTGTTTCCAACTACAACATAAAACTCGCACTACCGTAACTTTTCAGTTACACCGAATCTCTCATTCCAAATTAAAATGAATATGTTATTGTAGATATATATCAATTCATTATTAGAACCAAGGTTAATATTATTATGACGGCTTACATGCTGGCGTAATTTCATGTAATTATTAATTTTATTATTTAATATAGACAATTGTTTTCTCACTATTAAGTGTGAATAAAAGTATTTAGAAAACATTACTATATTTATTGATCTATATAATATACACACTAACAAAAAAAAAGACACCTACAAAAGCTGTCCTCTAGCCCATCCTCCTACTAGCTAGCCCCACCCATGCAGTCCCCCCCCCCAGTCCACTGTCCTCCCCCCCTTTCCGCGGTACAGAAATTCTGGAGCCGCCCGTGTCTCGGTGGGACGTTGTCACCACCCCTCACCTCCCGGACAAGTTGATTTTTAGTAGGTTTCAAATCCTGTCGAAGCAAATGAAGGTTTTGAAGCTTCACGTCAATTTCACACCACCTGTCAAGGATACTTTATTGAATGAAAAAAAAAACATCAGAATGAAGGAACACTGCGGCAGGCTACGCAGTTCCAGTTTCACACCTACTCACACCCACTCTTGTACCCATTCAACCTAAAGCAGCCCTAAGTTCTTCCCTCATTGACGCTACCTAGGAGCTTGTTCCAGTCATCTACAACTCTATTGCTAAATCAGTATTTTCTTATGACCTTTCTAAAAATCTAAATTTATTCAACTTCAATCCGTTGCTGCGAGTATTGTCTTGGTTAGATATTTTCAACACGCTGTATTCCCTTGATTTATTCATGTTTTCCATTTGTACACTTCAGTCATATCCACCCGCAAATTCTACGTCTTAACACCGAGTGCAACTTTAGTGCCTCGAGATTGTCCTCTCAGGAAAAGTTTCTGATACTCGGGATCAGTTTTCCATCCTTCTCTCTCTATGCTTTTCATCACAATTTATGTACAGTGCATTCTGTAATATGGAGACCAGAACTGAGCAGCATAATTACCTAAAATCGAGATTTAAGTAAGCTTTCAGTGCATATAAACTGAGATACTCACCCCACGTTGTATGTACACTGGAAGATATGCACCTCTTCAGTGTGTGTATATACACTGAACATACACCGTGCTTGACACATGTATCAGGCTTGTCTCTGGAGTACGCAACACCACCATGGAGCCCACACCTAATTCAGCATATAAAAAAATAAAAATATGTACAATGATCAATGATCGCAACGAGAGTAGTATTGGAATTGAAGGGAAATATGCTTTATTATTATTATTATTATTATTGCCATGGGGAAGATCCAAACTTATGAGGGTTATTATACAACGCCTTAGTAATGGAAAGTAATCAAGGTTTGATCCCTGGAATGGGAGCATTCGGTTCCTATTCTGTAGATCAAGAGCCATTGTGCATCAAGGCCTCAATTTAAAGGTCACATTCAGTCGATAGTGCCATGTGGGTATTGCAATGGTTTGTCTGACAGTCTACGTTTTGTGTTGCAGGTTGTGCATGCGGGGAGTTGGGCGTGTCGCCCATCATGGTGGGCCTGCCGCCCCATGAGCCACCCAGGCCCACGCTTCTTCTGCTGCTGGTGCTGTCATGAGGATGTCTTGCAGTGGGTGGGCAAGAGATGGGCGGGCGCCCCCTGCGCCAGACTCCGTGGCCTATCGCCGCTACCTGAGGCATTTGCCCGAGTACCAAGCTAAGAGCAAGGATGATGACGTGGAGGGGGGTGCAGGGGTGGAGGTGCAAGATACAGCAGGGATGGAGGTGAAGGAGATGATAGTGCAGGAGAGAACAGAGATGAATTTACAGGAGGGGTTGAGAGATGAAGCAGTGGTGGAGGTGCAGTTGAGAGTGAGGGAGATGGAGGTGCAGGAGAGGGTGGAGGTACAGGAGAGGGTAGTAGTGGTGGGAGGCAAGCAAGCCGTGCAGAAGCCTGGTGATGAGTGTAATAGGGCAGCCGAGATAGGTGACGAGAAAGAAGATAAGTTGCCGGATGTCAACGTAAGAAGCTTGGTGCGACAGTACACAGACATGTTGGTGAGCCGCAACACGGCCAGCACCCAGCTCCTCACCTCCCGCTCCTGTTGCAATCTCCACGCCCCTGCCGCCCCTCACCAGGGCACGCCGCCCCGACGCTACCCCCTCCACGAAAGATCTAACCCCTACCAGGAAGAGGACTCGCCCCGGGGGTCGCTAGACTCGGGTGATGGGGAGAGCTGTGACGCACGCAGCAGCAGGTCCTTCTCGCTACCCTGGCAGAGTGACCCGTCCTGGCGCTGGCAGAGTGACCCCAACCTAACCTTAGCAGCCCAGGCTCTGCCCTTGGTTATCTTACGCACATCGCGCGCCTCTCCAAAGCTCAGTTCCTCTCTGGCTCGTCTGGATTCCGCCGCTAGTGACGAAGGGTGTCCTGGCGACGACGGTTCCGCGGCCACGACGCCGTCGCCGTCGCCCGTCTTCCGTAGCACCGTAGCCAACCGTCTATCAGGTCTCATAACGCCCTTCAGGTCCCTCTCCCCCGCCTCCTCCATGGGCTCACGCCTGGGCTCCGTGGAAAACCTCCCTCTGGTGCGCTCCACCTCAGTGGGCCACGCCTTGGACCACTGGGTACGCTCGCAGTCTGCAGACAGCGCCGTCGAAGTTGAAGAAGACGGCCCGGTGTTCCCGGCAGCGTCGCCCACGAGCGGCGTCCGCCAAGTGAATAATAATCCCGTCATCAACGATACCTGTAACATCAGTAACAAAAGTGTCAATAAGGGTGAAAAGTGCAGTGAATCTTGTACACGTGAACGATCCAAGTGCAGTGGTTCGTGCCTCCAGGGGCAACATAAGTGCAGTGGTTCGTGCCTCCAGGGGCAACATAAGTGCAGTGGTTCGTGCCTCCAGGGGCAACATAAGTGCATGTGGTTCGTGCCTCCAGGGGCAACATAAGTGCAATGATTCGTGCCTCCAGAGGCAACATAAGTGCACGAACGGAGTTGAGGTATCTGCCGATGGCATCAGTACTGGTCAAGTGTTCCACGATTGTGCTAAAACCACCTCAGAAGGTAAAGCGATATGTGTTAATGAGACTAACACAGGCGGGGAGATTAACGTAGACATAGATGGAGAAACGGTGACGCTTCGTCGCAAAGCATCCAACATGAACCACAGGTGTCAGGAGACGCAGCAACGGCGCTGCGGCTGCGTCAATTGTGATGAGCTAGTGCGGCGCATGAGGGGATGTGGGGGAGTGGCGACGCAGGATGCCGGCGACGACTCCTGCAGGAAGGCGCTGCGGACACCCTCTGTAGTGATCAGTGACCACAGCGGCGACACAATCAGCCTGACGGTGGCGCTGGCCTCCAGCGACTTCTCCTTAGACAAGCTCTACACGCTACAACACTCTGCTTCCTCCCCCACACTCTCCGTCAGCGATGACTCCTCCCGCAAGGTGTCCAGCTGCTCCTCCTGCTCCAGCGTGAGCACCGTCGACCTCACCACTCCCCTCACACTCACCCCCGTCAGCCTAGAGAGCTTAATGGAGGTGCCGCAACAGCGGCGCATCTCCAACTGCTCCACCTGCAGCAACGTCAGCGCCTCCGAGGAGGAAGTTGACCACATCCTCCAGCGTCTGCCGCCACCCAGAAAGGTAAGTCATCATGCCATCCGTTGTTGGATGGAAAGTTTTGTTTATAAGTATGGCAGAAGTACGCTCGGTGAAGAGCAAACTTTGAAGAGAGATCCGTCAAAGAATCATGCTGCAAGATATATACAGGTCAGGATAACGGCAAAGAGTAATGCTTCAGGTAAGGATAATGACAAAGTAATATTACAGAACATTATTATAGTGGTTTGAAAAACGCAATAAAGGTTGTGAGCTATGCAGCTATGGGAATGTTTATTCAGAACGTTTCGCCACGTGTGCTTCATCAGTCCAATACAAAGAGGAAGGGTAGTATGGGGATGTTGTGAGGTAATCGTCCTCGCTGGAGTGTGTGTTAGTGCTCAATTACAGATGATGGACTGAAACATTCACTCCGGCTAGGGACTGATTACCTCACATCCTCTCTCCTTACGCTTCTTTGTAGTGGACTGATGAGCTATGTGTGGCGAAAGTTCTGATAAGATTCATACTGCATAAGTGTCTCAATCTTTACGAAATTATATACGTATGGGAGTGACAAAGCAAAGAGGTTGTGAGTGAGGGTGTCGTTGTGGGTGTTGTTGTGGGTGTGTTATGGTTTTTGGTGTGTGGGTGTTGGATCACATAGCTTGTAGTTTGTAACAGTATAGAATGAGTATGTTAAGAAGCTAGCATACTGAATGTTCTTGATTTCGATTATATTGTGGTCTTTATGGTGCAGCTTCAGAAACATCTTGTCTTGCTGTCTTTACAGTGCGTTGTGCACGTGGACAGTCAATGGGGTTAGCGTGTTTATCTTTATGTATAAGACAGGCAGTGATACTGACAAGATGTAGAAAAGGACAGGCATTGTTCAGATTGTGAGTTTTACACTCATTCTCGATAGTTTTGGTGATTAGGCTGTTGCACCATTGTAAAATCTGCCACATCCTGCACAGGGGAGCTTGTACACGTCTGCCTGGGTGTTGTGGTCGTGGATGACACTCTGGTCATTTTACATGTGATTTTAGAAATTATGACTGCCACGTTCTTGTTGCTTTCTCTAAAGAGTCTGGGCTATGCTGTCAGCTCCGCTACCAGCACGTTCAGTGAGATGCTGTTTGATGTGTGTTCACCCTAAGGTTATGTTCAAAATGATATAAAATACTGGCAAGTTGATGATTAAGACAAGACACATGTGCAACAGTTGAGTATCTTCATTGTTGAAACATTTCGCCTCACAGTAGGCTTCTTCAATCAGATACAGAGGCAACACGTGTAGTAGTGAAATGAAGATGATGTAATAACCAGTTGTTGATTATTTGCTGTGCGTTATATTTTCACTCTTAAGATCACATAAAAGGGCAACTTTGAGTTTTAGAAATACAGTGGTAGTGGGGCTGCACTCATTTTTCTAAGAAATTCTGGCCTACATATTTGGTTTGTCCGGAGGAAGATACCAACGAAGACACCACAGTTAATATGCTTTTCTCGGTGGGAAAACAAGTGGATGAGATCGACTTTATTCGGTTTCCTGTAGACCTAGATAAAGCCGGGATGTGTTGTAGACTCAGAGAAGTTTGACATCGAGAAGGAGCAGTATATTATGCTCTGTTTCATGAGTGGATATGACGGTGGGTTCTACTGCATTAAGGCGGCCACGGAAGAACTCGTATTGAATTTAACCTATGTGTAACTAGAAGAATGTAATGAAAATAACATAGCTTAGGTCACAGTATCAACACAAGAAATTAGCTACTTTACATTTAGTATCACATCATCTGTTTACACTAGTTTTCACCCATACCTTTGATATACTTTGATGAATTCCGAGAGTTTTTCTACTTTCGGAGTTCGACCATGGGCTAGGTTTGTCTGGTATTTGCCAGGTCAACCAGGCTGTCGCTGCTGATGGCCAGCTGCCCCACATCCATTACAGCCTGGTTAATCTGGCACCTGTCCAAGCCACCTCTTTTCATAACAATCTAATTCAGTCTTGATCTTCCTAGAACTCTACCCCAGATTGAATTACTTCGCTTTCAGTAACAAAGGTGAACAGAGACTGGGCATGACATTAGGGCCTGGTATCAGTGCAACACTCACCACCTTGTATATAAACTTACTATGAACGCAACGTCTTGCAGACATCATAAATGGCTACGAATCGTCACTCTTTAGACCATTCAGTTTGCAACTCTTCCATGACTCTCTCAACACAAGGAGTGGTAGAGGTTGGATCCTCAAACTAATCGCAGCCCGGTATCTGACCATTCAGGGCCTTGGACTGGCCAGAGTCTTGGACTGGCCAGAGTCTTGGATGGTAGGGCTTGTTGATCGCTCAATGGATATGTCTTTGAATTGTCAGGTAACAGGTCATGTGTCAGTATTATAGGGCCTGGGTCAGGTAAACAAGTCATGTGTCGGTATACAGGGCCATGGTGTCAGATACGCCATGGTGTCAGGTAACTTTGGAAGTTGTCAGGTAAACAGGGTCATGGTGTCAGGTATATATAGGGCCATGGTGTCAGGTAAACAAGGTCATGGTGTCAGGTATACACGGCCATGGTGTCAGGTATATAAGGCCATGGTGTCAGGTAAACAAGGCCATGGTGTCAGGTATACACGGCCATGGTGTCAGATATACAGGACCACGGTGTCAGGTATACAAGACCACGGTGTCAGGTATTCAGGGCCACAGTGTCAGATAAACAAGGCCATGGTGTCAGGTATCAGGGCCATGGTGTCAGGTAAAAAGTTCGTTGTGTCAGGTAAATAAGACCACGGTGTCAGGTAAACAAGTCCATGGTGTCAGGTATACAGGGCCATGGTGTCAGGTATACAGGGCCATGGTGTCAGGTAAACAAGGCCACGGTGTCAGGTATACAGGGCCATGGTGTCAGGTATACAGGGCCATGGTGTCAGGTAAACAAGGTCATGGTGTCAGGTATATATAGGGCCACGGTGTCAGGTAAACAAGGCCACGGTGTCAGGTATACAGGGCCATGGTGTCAGGTGTACAGGGCCAGGTGCCAGGTATACAGGCCACGGTGTCCAGGTATAAAGGCCACTGGTGCAGTATAACAGGACCACGTTTAGGTATCAGGACACGTGCAGATAAGGGCCATGGTGTCATGTAAACAAGACCACGGTATCAGGTATACAGGCCACGGTGCCAGGTATATAGGGCCATGGTGCCAGGTATACAGGGCCATGGTGCCAGGTATACAGGGCCATGGTGCCAGGTGTTTAGCATTACACAAGTGTTTTACGCAGCTACACAGCGCACTGTCCTCGATAAGAAAGGTCAACGTAGTCTCTCTCTCTCTATCTCACTCTCTCGGAGGAGGAGGAGGATGAGGAGGAAGAGAAGTATGACAAGAAAGAGGAAGAGGAAGACGAGAAAGAGGAGGAGGAAGAGGCGAAGAAAGAGGAGGAAGAGATGCAAGATATTTATTTTCTCTCCCAGGATCACCTTGGGATCCTCTCGTTCCTCTTATAAAAAAAAAGAATAAAAAGTGTAGCTGCGTCAGGTGCCGGGAAGCTGGGTGACGTGAGGAGGACCTGTGGCGTCACCTACCGCCTCACGTCTGCGTCACGCTTTGCGTCACACTCTACGTCATATCTCCCATCCTCTGGATGCCAGATAATTTGCTGGGAAGTGTGTGTCTGCTCCCCGACTTTTTTTGTTTATGTTTATGTAACCTTACTAAACGTGTGTGTGTTTATGTAACCTTACTAAACGTGTGTGTTTATGTAACCTTACTAAACGTGTGTGTTTATGTAACCTTACTAAACGTGTGTGTGTTTATGTAACCTTACTAAACGTATGTGTGTTTATGTAACCTTACTAAACGTATGTGTGTTTGTAACCTTACTAAACGTATGTGTTTATGTAACCTTACTAAACGTATGTGTGTTTGTAACCTTACTAAACGTGTGTGTTTATGTAACCTTACTAAACGTGTGTGTTTATGTAACCTTACTAAACGTATGTGTGTTTGTAACCTTACTAAACGTGTGTGTTTATGTAACCTTACTAAACGTGTGTGTGTTTATGTAACCTTACTAAACGTGTGTGTTTATGTAACCTTACTAAACGTGTGTGTTTATGTAACCTTACTAAACGTATGTGTGTTTATGTAACCTTACTAAACGTATGTGTGTTTATGTAACCTTACTAAACGTATGTGTGTTTGTAACCTTACTAAACGTGTGTGTTTATGTAACCTTACTAAACGTGTGTGTTTATGTAACCTTACTAAACGTGTGTGTTTATGTAACCTTACTAAACGTATGTGTGTTTGTAACCTTACTAAACGTGTGTGTTTATGTAACCTTACTAAACGTGTGTGTTTATGTAACCTTACTAAACGTGTGTGTTTATGTAACCTTACTAAACGTGTGTGTTTATGTAACCTTACTAAACGTGTGTGTTTATGTAACCTTACTAAACGTGTGTGTTAATGTAAGCTTGATAAGCGTATGTGTTTGTGTAATCTTACTTGGCGTGTGTGTTTGTGTAAATCGGTGTTCAGGTGCTTATGTAACTTTAATCTAAGTAATAATTGTAAACACTCTGTCAGTGTTAACCGTAAACAACCACTAATTATTGTAAGCAATCTGTGTAAGTAATAATTGTAAACACTGTCAGTAATAATTGTAAACAGTCTAAAACACTACTCGCGAGGAAAAGTTACATAACATCACTGTACGTAAGAATTAGACACGTGTGCAACATCTGGGTATCTTTATTTGTGGACGTTTGGCCGACTAGCGGCTTTATCAATACAAGGACATAATGTGAAGAATTATATATATACAAGACATGAGGTAATGAGTCCCTCAGCCTTGTAGTTGGTGACGAGCACCGTAGTGCTCGTCACCATGGTTCATGGTCTGGAACAATATCATTCCAGACCATGGTGCTGAACTCTTGTCCAGGCTGGGGGACTGAGAACTTCAAATACTTTCGCCTACTGTGTAGGCGAAGTGTGTCGTCAATAAAGATTCCCAGCTGTTCACATGTG